AAAAACTCAAACTGCAAAGGTCTCACTAGGAAACTGCAAGGAATTCAGCCCGGGATTTTATGCACACCATTTTTCATAATGTTACTTTCTCCTTATATTGCTTTGAATGTTTAATACAGACAGAATTCTTCCAGATTTAACTTTGGCTAAAAGTATCTCTCTTCTGAACATCTAATTCTCTAATGGACAGGAAGTCTGGGCTTGGTTCATAGGAATGAAGTCGGAATGTGTTCCTTCCCCGTTGTTTTCCTGACCAGCTTTCTCAAGGCCGACAATGAGACCTGGACTGACTGACTGCCTTACTCAGAGCAGCGACTCTGTATTTTCCTACTTCCGGTGAATATACTAACCACACAAAAACACACATCCATTGGGTCAATTCTGGCTCATAGGACGAACTAGAGCTGCTCCCCAGGGTGTCTGTGATTGTAAATTGTTGGTGGCGAGCAGTCTGGTGCACAGAGCCTCCTGTCACCAGGGTCCCTGGGACTGTCCGTTTTTACAGAAGCTGTCACCTTAGCTTTTTCCCAGGGACCGACTGCTGGGGTCAAACTGTGGACCTTTCCCTTAGCAGCCCAATGTTTCACCCACTGCATCACCAGGAATCCTACGTACCCTGGTTAAGCTAGGCTAAAACTGTATTAACAAACGTTTAGTAAGAGCTTGCGGGAGAAGACATTTAATAGCAGGAACCTATCTTTAGAGAACATGTCAAGTGGCTTAGCCCCTACTTGTTAGGGATGGTCTAGTGAATGCTGACTCATGGCAGCCCCTTGTGTACAGAACACAACTAACTGCTCCACAGTTTTCAAGGCTGTGACCTGTCAAGAGCAAGTCGCCAAGCGTATCTTCAGAGTGGGCCTGGGTGAGTCCAAACCCTCAACAGGTGAGTCAGTCGTCTACAGCTGAACCACCTGACTGGCACCACCTATGGACTACTTGCTCACTGCCATCAAGCTGATTCCAACTGATGGAAAACCCAACTGATGGAAAGCACAGGACAGAACTGCACCTGTGGGCTTCTAAGACGGCAACTCTTTATGAGAGTAGCAAGCCACCTCTTTCTGTCCTGAAGCAGCTGGTAGTTTAGAGCTGCCCAAGTCATAAGCCACGGTGCCACAGGGTCAGAACCCATGGCAGTGAGGGACTACCCAACGAGAACTTTCTAAATGAAGCCAATGAATACCAAGCGGCTTTTCCGAGTTGGACAACAGAATTCTGGGCTAGGTTTCTCAAAGGGCATTTAGGGATTCAAACTACAATAATATGAAGACCACTCACTGTATCATTATACTTTTTGACTCCTGCCTACAATAGATCCCTTCAAAATTTTTATTTTCTGGGTTAAAAATAAAGCCTAAGCGATTTTCACAAACATATCGCCCATTTCAGGGTGAGTCAGTAGAGCACTATTTGTGGGCAATTCACTTTCAACATAAAGCATTCAGTAAGAAAAGCTAAGGAAAAAACCCCAGAATTTATAATATGACATCAAAATAAAATAAAATTCAATTGAAAGATTATCAATATGAAAGGGTTCTTTTTAGACTAATTAAAAAATGTAAGACTAACTAAAATTTTGAATATTTTGTCCCCCCTTTTTTCCTTTAAATCCATGGTTCTTAACCAGGGGGCGACATCAGAAGCACTTGGAAAATTAATGGAAATTGATACTTCACCTCAAGAGATTGAACTAGGGTAGTATGACACAAGTATTTTCAAAATCTCTAAGAAACTTTAGTTAATAATTCTTTACATTAGTCCAATGGATAGGACCATGAGAACATTAGTCTCCATGATACTGAAACCAGAACAACTAGATGGTGTCCAGCTACCAATGCTTTAAAGGGATCATATTAGAAAGTCCTCATCAGAGAGGGAGACAAATGTGGAACAAAACTCAAAGTCATACAAAAGACCCGGCTTACTGGTCTGATAGCCTGAAGGAACCCTCAAGACTTTGGTCCTTACGTCACCCTATAGGTCTGGTTAGGAACTCACTCCAGGGCTCAATTTTCAGTAAAACAAAAGATCAATAAATGGAACAAACACTGTTTGGAGAAGAAAAAATTAGAAACAATTTCAGGCTA